CATTTTATTTAGTATTCAAAATGCAATCATAAGGACAGTACTTTTGGAAATACTTCCCTTATGACTGGGATTTCACCAACTCCTTCCTGTGCCTATTGAATTGCTGAAAATAATATCAAAAAGTGTTATTTCCTCCTCTGATTCCTCTAGGAGATGACACAAATCATAGAGTCCAAGTGACTTAAGCCGAAGTGGTTCATCTTGGTTCTTATGTTATTGTTTTGGAGTCAGCCCAGCTATCCATGCTATACCATCTGCACTGTATCCTGAACATCTCTCACTTTCCCGTCTGACTCTTGCCTGCATTGAGAGATTCTCAACTCTTTCCCTTGACTCATCTCCCAAAGTACAGGTGATTATCCTCATTCTAATGGAAGGGAGAGAGTGTGTGGATCATGCAAAGGAGTGGGTTGTCCAAACATTGTCTCTGTTAGGCTTTCAAATGCATCACGTAGATTTTCACATAACGAGAATTCACCCACTGCTCAGAAAACTGAAAATTCTTAAGTGGCAGTCCAAATTTGGAAACCACAACTGTTTTTAGCACTGCCTTTCAGGTGCCAAAAATATCACCTATCATATTCTCCAGGGTTCAAAGAAAGAGGAAAGAGGAAAAAAGCAAAGAACAAGTTGAGGATAAAGGTAACATGAAGCTTCTCCAGTTACGTAAATTATTATTAAAAATAACCACAATAGACAAAGCGAGAGAGAGGCATGGACATATATACACTACCAAATGTAAGGTAGATAGCTAGTGGGAAGCAGCCACATAGCACAGGGAGATCAGCTCGGTGCTTTGTGACCACCTGGAGGGGTGGGATAGGGAGGATGGGAGGGAGGGAGACACAAGAGGGAAGAGATATGGGAACATATGTATAACTGATTCACTTTGTTATAAAGCAGAAACTAACACACCATTGTAAAGCAATTATACTCCAATAAAGATGTAAAAAAAATAACCACAATAACTGAAATAACAATAATAATAGAAATAAGAACTAGCATTCACTGGCAGTTAACAAAACAGGGCCTCATGTGACCTTCCTAATCTCCCAAAGAGGGAAGGAGGGTAGTACAGTGGTCCCTATCTGTCGGGTACTCATTCCAGGAACAATTGTGGATATCAAAATCTGCAGTTGCTCAAGTCCCGTATATAAAATGGTATGGTGTTTGTATTATAACCTATGCACATCCTTCCATGTACTTTAAATCATCTCTAGATTACTTACACTACCTAATACAATGTAAGTGCTATGTAAACAGTTGCTGGTACATGGCAAATTCAAGTTTTGCCTTTTGGAACTTTCTGAAAATTTTTTCTTGAATATTTTCAGTCTGTGGTTGGTTGAATCCACAGATGCAGAACACATGGATACAGATACAGAGGGCTGACTGTATTCTTAGCATCCTCATTTTACAGATGAAGAAACAAAATCAGAGAAGTTACATGAATGGCCCAAGGTCATGCAACCCAAGCCACTAGACTTCAAATCCTGTATCCTATCTCTTCTTCAAACAGCCTCACCACTGGTTTATCTAACCAATCTCAGGTGAATCTGTTTTGGTGGGAAATTTGCCCTTTTTTCCATTACTGTGGACCTAAGGAGAGGTCATTAGGACTTCTCTGAACTTCTCAAAATAGAAAAGAAACAAAGATTCCATTTCTAGCTTTTGGATGAGAGTTCCAGTTATATACATATTAAAATCTTACTTGGTCCATCTCCAAATTGGTTTTGGGGGCTCGAAAGAAGGAGTTTGATCACTCTGCCCCAGTTTGTACCCTGGAATCTAATTCCCCAAACCCCCACCCATCCACAGGGAACTTCAGGAACAGCCAAAGTAACTTTTCAACTGGAAAATCTTGGTGACCCTTCTCTGGTCTCCCAGCCCTCATCTCCCCAAGTCAGGCCAGTACCTGGCATATCCTGGGCTGTGGTAGAGACTCTTATCCTCGAGGCCCTAACAACTGGGTCCAGGCTGCTGTAGCCAATAGAAGGTCTATCCCATGGATCAAAGCTCAAGGAATCTGTGATCCAGCAACATCCCTAGCAGATACCCATTTAAGGCAATATCTGGCAAGAGCTTTGCAAAAGAGAATTGGAAAAAGAAAACCAGTCAGAGAAATAACTGAATGAGCTACTAAATGAAACAAGGAGCATGGAACTTTGGCAGACAGTATTTTCCAAAAATGACTGAAAAAATATTTCTGGTCTTATATGCCCTTCCAGAACCTTGCCACTCCCCCATCCAGAGAAGTTTATTTCCTCTTGTCTTAAATCCCTATGGGTCTTGGTGACTGTCTCAATGTATAGATTGTGGTTGAAGTGATGCCCTATGACTTCTGATGGTAGATAGAAAAGGTGACAGAGCTTCCACCTGGCTCTCTCTCTTGGGCATCTGACTTTAAAACCTTGGGAGGAAGCCCAGGCTACACAAAGAGGCATTCCCGTTATCAGCCCCACAAAGGTACTAGCTGACAACTGACATCAGCCAACTGCCAGACACATGAGTGAACGAGCCTTCTGATAATTCCAGTCGCCAGCCTTTGAATTACCCCAGTCTTTGAGTTTTCCAGCTGAAGCTAATGGAGCAAAGACAAGTTATCCTTATGGGAATTCCTGACCCATAGAATTCATAGTCATAATAGATGACTGTTTTAAGCCGCTAAGTTTTGGGGTAATTTGTTGCACAGCAAGACATAACCGGAACAGGAACATAAGCCTGAGGGGACCTCTGAGCATGTTGTATTTGCAACAGCCAAAAGGTGACTCCAGGTCCTACTGCTAATTCTAGCCATCCCCTGCCAAGTGCCTTCTGTATGTAGGTTATTTCTCTTGGAGACTCCACTGCTCCCCCCTGCAACCGCACTTAGCTCTCCCCTTCCAAGTCCATCAAACATGTTTTTAAAGGTCTGAATTTCAATTGAGCACAGGGTTTGAGCCCTTTACTCTAAGTTTCTTTGGCCTTGCCTGGCCAATTCAGGAGGCGAGTTTAGCCACTTATTTCAGTCTCTGGGCATTCTGTGATGGTGAAGGTATATGCAGTGGTGGAGAGTACTGGGTAGTGGGGAGAAAGGGAAGAACCTAACTCCTAATCCATTTGTCTGGGCTTTGACCTAGAGCTACCTATTCTACTTAAAGAATTACATGAACCTTCGCTCACAGTGCCATGATACCACTGAATCATTTTACTTCCAATGACAATCCTTTGATCAGATCATTAGGCTCAAAACTGGAAAAGCCAAAAATATAAAGACTTGTTGTCTTGTACACTGTTGTAATACAGAAACTTAGTATAGTGCCTGGAACACAGTAAACACTCAATAAATATCTACTGAATGAAAGAATGAATGAATGAAAGAAATCTCCTCCTCTCTTTTTAGAGGCCAATAACTAATATTGGATTAGCATAATGCGCTAGAAAACTGTAGTGTTCAACAGGCTGACATTCTACTCCATTAGGTAATATGTTTTTCAACCTGCTCAAAGTAAGTATTAAACCTCAAAACTGTGAGTTCCTTGAGGGCAGAGACCATGTCTTATTACATTTTGTATCCTCAGCACCTGGCACTTTGCCTGGTACTTGCTAAAAGCTCAGTAAATATTAAATATTTAAATATTAAAAACTAAGTGAATGTCAAAGAGATTGACAGAGATATTTCAAATCATTTAGTTCTCCTAGGCTTTGCCTAGTAGGAGACAGTGACAGATAAGGGTGCTGGTCAGTGCACCTGATCCCCAGAGGAATCAGACTGGGATGCAGAAATTCAGAAGTCCTGAGGCCTCCCAGCCTCTAAAGACTCCAAAAGCTATTTTGTAATCTGAGTATGGCATTGGTATGAATACAGAAAAGTGTACAGACCTCCCCTTTAGCAATCAAAAGTGCTTTTCTATGATTGCTCCAAATAGTATTTTTTTTCACAACTAATTTTATAATGAGCCATTCATTTATTTGCCCATTCATTTATTCATTCATCCCATATATATTTTGTGTTTTCGGCCGCACCTCACGGCTTGCAGGATCTTAGTTCCCGGACCAGGGATTGAACCCATGCTCTTGGCAGTGAAAGCATGCAGTCCTAACCACTGGACCACCGGGGAACTCCCCTCATTCATCCCATATTAATGGGGGCCTAGCTGTTGCTATTCTTCTGCAAAGGTGTGTTTAATTTGCTCAAAATAAAGTTGAATGTTCAAAAGGTCCTCATTCCCTGGAAAAGGACCTGACTAGGAAACTAAAGATGAGATATCACCATTTTGTAAAGGCAGATGGAAATTGTAGGTATAAGATCCTCACAGTTCAGAATTAACTAATCTAGTGTATTTCAAAACGTGATCTGCATTGGGTGGAATCACTTGACAGATGACTATTAAAAATAGAGATGTCTGGGATCCACTCCAGACATACTAAATCAGAACATCAGAAGTGAGATTGGAAACTACAAGCAATCTCTGGTGATTTTGATTGTATTCAAATTTGAGAACTACTAACCACAGGTGTCGTGCCAGTAGGACCTACATACAATTGCTTAATTTAAGCTTATCTTCTCCAACATCTCTACAAAAGTAAGATGTTACTTGGCTGATTCTAAGACACCTAGGAATAGTGTAAATGTGGCTCAGAATTGCCAATATCCCAGACCACAACTCCACTGAATGAATGTAATCATTCTCTCCTAAACTAACCCAAAATAAACTCCTGCAAAAAGAAAGTAAACCTATTCTTCCCTTAAGAAACTCACAATTTAGAAGCCAACTGTTACAAAATGTTTGTTATTAAAATATAGAAGCTTTTAAACTTGGATATGCTACATTCAAACCCTTCTTAATCTGAAAAGCAATAAACAGCAATCACCAGCTGTGAGAGGCACCTCTTGGCCATGCAAATCCAGACTGCACTATTTTTCTACCCACAGTGCTAACACCCAGCTGGAACCCTGTGACATTTTCCTCGCTTACCCCCAAACTCACTCCTTTTCTTCCCCAGAGATTTTTACTCACTTTCTGAATTTTCCTAATCTGGTCAGAGAGTGTGTCTAATAGGCGAGTTTTCAGGAAGTCCATCACCTTGACCACCCGGCCATCAATGTAGCAACTGGAATAAAAATAAAATAAGAATCAGAGAAAATCTCGAGCAGGAGACTACAAATATATTTCTCTAGCCAGAGGTCTCTGTTGCCTGAGGAAAGAGCCCAGGGTTCACTTGGGCTCTTACATTCTAAAGAAGTTTTGATCCTGGGTACTTTTCAAACAAATAATATACTTTTTAACCTCTTCATTTTCACCTCCATTTGTGGGCTAATATTGTGATTTTTTTCAGCCTTTGTCCATTGAAACTGCATTTATTGCTCTATAGGAACTGACAGGACTCTGTAACACAATTGGGTAATGGGGAAAAGCTTAGTTGTTTTCCCCATAGGGAAAGTAAATAACACCTCTCCCATACCATCCCTACCCCCACCTTAAAGTAATAAAGGTATGTGAGAGGTTTGAAAGACTACTCAAGCATTTTGAAAGGTTTCCACACCTTTAAATAAGAAAACACCAACCACAAAAATCTGATTTAGTGCAGTGAGCAGGTCTCAAAGAGTTCATCTCCAGTTCACTTCCCTGGGCAAAATACCTTGTAGTCAACCTCCTTCCACCTCCAGAATAAATGAACGGATAAATGAATAAACAAATAAGTCAGACAGATTAAAGTTCAGGTGCCCTCTCCTAAAATAGCAACAAGTTTGGCACACATCAGTGTGGTGGTGTCTCCAGTTTTGTTAGGTAGCTTAAGTGAAACATCAAGTTGTGCTGATACTACATTGTAAACATTTAACCAAAACAGGTTCATCTGGCTTTGTGGGGACTCTCTGTGTGAATCTTTACTCTGAAGGCTAAGCCCAGGAATAGGTGACCTTCACTATCTCAAACCTCCCAACACTCATCTTTGCAAAATTCCAAATTAAATCGATTTAATTAAAATCAATGCTTATGACTCCTGGGTGCCTTTTCCAATCCACTTAGGTCTCCTTGGCTGATGGATAATGATAGATTATGTCATTTTTAGTAAGACACCAACCTCTCAGTACGTATTACAGAACTATAATTCTGATTCTAGTACTAAAAAATTCCTTTTAATGTTAAATTCCCATACTAATATGTGATGTAGTGGAATGGTTAAAATTCTTTTGTAATTGCACTTTCAACCAGGTGCTCTGGTTGAAGTGAGGGTGGGAGATGAGCTCCTCCCACTCAGCCTTCCCCTTGGCCTCCCTCACCACCTCACACATTTCCACAGAATCCAATGTTTAAATCATTTGTATATTGAAAAGAGTATGGGTTTTGGAGCCAGAGATATCTGAGATCAAATTCCAAGGCAGGTATTTACTACCTATGTGATCTTGGGCAAGATGCTTGGCCTTTATGGGCCTCAGTTTTCTTATTCTTAAGAGAGAGGTAACATATCTACTACTCAGGATTGTTTGAAGATCAAGCAGATAAACCTAAAGTGTCTGGCATATAGTAGGCACTCAACAACTGTTAGTTCTTTTCTGATTTCTCTAATTTTCAGCTCACAAAGATGGGGTCATAAACAATAGGGGCCTGACTGTGTGTACAGAATTCTAAAAGTGAGATGACTGTGTCAAAGGGTACATGCTTTTGAAAATCTGGGTGGTTACTTATATTAGGGAATAAAACAAACCAATGACATGACCTTTCACCTCATTCCTGGTACAGATGCTAGACTTAATCCAATAAACATTTATTATGTGCAACACACAGAGCTGGTAATGTCCATGTCCATTACCTCACAAACCTCTTTCTATTAGTACTCCACTGTCAGCACCTCCAATTTTTTAAAAGTTGTGATTAAATAGTATACTACCTGAAAGCTAGGCATGTTAAAACACTGTAGTGTTCAAATTAAAAATAATTCATGAAATGTTAATGTAACACACATTGAAGGACATGAACATTTGTACTATATTACATGATGATTATGCATATGATAAAAATGTACTGTAATTAGTGTTCTTTTATGTTCTAGTCAAATATATTATAGTTTCCTCTTTTTTCTTTGTTAGCTCCCAGTAACTATTTTAAACAGCAGAGTTTATAAGTTTTGCTGGCAACACATATAGTTTAATGCTCATTGAGATAAAAGTGCCAGATGTACTTTTTCAATATGTAGGATTCCCTGTGAACATGCTTCCTATCCCACAAAATCCACGGCCCACGGTTGAGGGTCCTCCACTCTTCCCCTCCTTCCTTTGGTCTCTTTTCTCAAGTACATGAAACTTGGAGTTAGAAAACCTTGGTTCAGTCCCAGCTTTGCCACATACTACCTATATGATACTGGGTTTCCCCTTCTTTAAAATCAGTTAAAAAAGAACCCCAACCCTACAGTATTTTCACAGGGTTACTGTACCGATAAAAATGAGAAGAAATTCTGGGCACAGAAACTGGCACATAAAAGGTATTCAATAACCAAAACTACCCTCCAGGTTACTTAAGTACCCAAGGTGGCAGCAACCTAGACTGAAAAGCCATGGGATGGGGTGAGCAGGGGAACATCTGTCTGGAGAAAGACAGTATGTTCATCCACCATAGGATTTGGAATTAGGGAATTATGGAGGAGCAAAAATGGACTCTGGATTTCCAGTAGGTGGGAGGCAGAGAGAAAGAGAGAGGTGGAGAGGGCTGTGATTATGTTGCAAAAACCTGGAGTTTGAAAAGACCTTAGTGGTCATGTGGTCTGAAGTAGGTAAGCCTGTGACAACATCCCTGAGAAGTTATTATCTAGGACAGGGAACTCACTCTCATAAACTACTAGTACTGTTCCACTGTACCACAGCTCGGATCCAGGGAAGGCTCTTCTACCATGGGTCCAAAATTGGCTCCCTCTTACTGTTCACTCAATGGCTGTTTTCTTGGACCCGGGAATAGTCCAATTCTTCCTTCATGTGACATGGGGGGGAGGAATTCCAGCAAAAACTTTGGTTTAAGCTTTTTAGAGCCTATTTTTGTCCCCAATTTTAACCTAACAAGCTGGATTCAATCATTCTCAGTTGGTCTCAGGCTATTCCTGTGGGCTATGAATTAGACTGGAGCAGGGGAAGCTCCAGGCAGGAAACCAGTGTGACAAGGTTATCTTATCTCAACAGTGCAGGCAAGAAGAAATCTGGGTCTAAGTAAGGGAGATCATGGAAAAAGTAAAAGTGAGAGCCTGTGAAAAAAGAACTAATAAAATAAAGCTTCTGTAGAGCATAAGAGAGACAGGAAGGGAGTCGATGACCATGAGCTAATGAGAGAGAATGTCTTTGAGAACATTGGTGCCAAGGACACGTAGGCTAGTCAGACTGGGTTTTAGGTTTGTCAAAGGAGATAAATTATTCTGTTTGAGATATCAAAGACCCAGAGAATATCAAAGAGAAAATATGCAACAGGTACTTGAAGATGTGAGAAGTCAGCACAGAGAAAAATTGAGACAGAAAATGTTGACCAGGTTGTTTTCTTCAGTTTGTAAGTAATGAATGGAGCCACGGCCGTAGATGAGCTCTCTAGGAGAATCAGAGAAGTTAACAGATATGGCAGAGACCCTCTAAAATTCTCAAATACGGCCCTGGACATTGCCTCTATCTTTGGCCCAAATAAGAGTCCCTTCCTTCCCCAGCCCTTCCCCAGTCCCTTCCTTCCCCCATCACAGTGTCTTTTTAATAATTTCGGTCTGAGTCAGATTCACACTTGGATGCCAAAGGAATTCCCATATTATACTGTGAAGTTTCAGCAACTTTATTTGCAAACATAAACCCACATTTATATTGCACTATGGAAATAAGAAATTTGGTCCTCCAGAATTTAGTATTCCTTTTTAAGAGAGGGGATAATTTAACCATAGGTGTGAGTTGATAAATACCTGAGCCTTTTTCATGGGTAACCCTGGACAATTAGCTTGCTGCACTTACCCTTCATAAATGTGAAGCTTCTAAGAAAACATTCAATGTCAACAATCTGTGGTTATCTGAAAAACTCCTGCCTGTTACAGAGCTTTGATTCTCTGATAGTGGCTGCCTGTAGTAAAGGGCTCAATACATCATTTAGATTTGGACATGATAGCCTGTGATGACACTTGGTAAGAATAAATTGTTAAAAATGGTAAAGATGGTGATTTCTAACCAAGACTGGGTAAGTGGAAGTAGGACTGGATTCCACCAGACTGTCCAGTGACCTGGGGGCAAGTCTCTCTGCTTTCCTCTGTCTTCTTCACTGGGAAGATAAAGATGATTCTGAGCTACCAACTGGTCTCTCCTGAAGAGTTAACTAGTTTAGTAATGGATACAAAGGCACCAGAAGACCAAACAAATGAGAGAGGAAAGGAAGGATTGAGGGAAGGAAAGAGAGAGGAAGGAAATTTGCCAATTAGAGGTGCTTTGGCATCTTCCACATAAACCCTGATAATTTTAGGTAAATCATAGTCCTCCTCTAAGCTCTCTTGAAATTTCAGCACCTCCTAGGATCACACCACAAATGGCTGAGCTGTTCAACTAAAAGCTGAAGCCAGGAGAGGCTGTGCAGAAATAACCTTTCTGTGAACTATTACTACAAATGCAATGAGCTTGAAACCTTTGTGTGTGGACAAACAGCCTGTGCTCAGTCCTGGCAACCATCATTCCTTCCTTGGCTGGCCTCTAGATTGGCAGGTCATATGAAGCACATACCTGGGGAGGTGGCAAAGATGGCAGAGTATACAAGGTAAATGGAACTACATACCAATTCATTCACCAACTCTCTTGCTCTTAGTTTTAAATTTTATTTCTAGTTTAATACCTTTCATCTTACAGTAAGTCCCCTACATATGAACCTTCAAGTTGCGAACTTTCAAAGATGTGACTGTGCATTTGCATGTCCAATCACGTAAGTTAGTTCACGTGAAATTGCAGCTTGCCCTCCGTCTTCTATTGCTGACGATCCTTCAGCTCTACCATCTCCCACCTCCTCTCCCTCCTCCAGTCAGTAACTCTTCTTGCCCGTTCACTCGATGCCAGCCCCTGTGTGCCAGCTGTTGTACTGGACTACTGTACTTTTCAAGGTATTGTATATAAGATT